TGGTGGCCTGGGTTGGGAACCCGGGCGCGCACCAACGCACCACTTGTCAGGCCATGCTGAGGCCGCGTCCCACATACAGCAACTAGAAGGATGTGCAACTATAACATACAACTATCTATGGGGGCTCTGGGGGAAAAAAAGGAGGAGGATTGGCAATAGATGTTAGCTCAGGGCCGGTTTTCCTCAGCAAAAAGAGGAGGATTGGCATGGATGTTAGCTCAGGGCTGATCTTCCTCACACACACACACACAAAAAGATAAAAATCCTGGAATTGTTGGGTTTGCGTAGGCCTCCCTGCAATCTGAGATCCCAGTGCAGCCTTGGTACCCTCTAGTGGAAGTTTCCTGCATTCACACAGCTTCCCTGGCTTCAACCTCAAATAGTTGGGAAGGAAGCCCTCACCCAGCCACTGGAGAGCATCCCAAAAGAACAGTCAGCTGGAAGATACATGTTTGTATGTCGAGGTCCAGGAGGGGTGGAGGAAGGAATACAGACTAAAGGGAAGGTGTGCTGAGCACTTGGTTCACAAGGGGCCCAAAGGGAGCCCTTGTCAGTATATAAATGAGCTCAGGCCTTTGTGCATTATTAATAAGAGCCCAATACACATCATATGTGAGTGTAGGCTTTTAGGGCTCTAGAGAGTGACTTTTTTTTAATGGGGAAAATTAGTGATCAGAGATGCGAAGTGACTAGCCTAAGGCCACAGGGTAAGTCACTGTCAGCAATGGTGGGACTAGGAATCATGTCTCCTGCCTCCCAACCCAGAGCTCTTTCCACTATATCACACTTCCCTGTTTGTTGTTGATTGATTTTAGCCATAAGTTGGTCTGCATATAAGGACATGAGGTTGTAGGTATAACCAGGGTATTGTTTTTGCCTTCGTCGGCCCACAATCTATACACTTTTCATTCTTGTGTTCAACACATTTACAGAGTGCCTATCATTGCCAAACACTACTCTAGGCATCGTGTTTCACGTTCGTGGACCCTATCACAGGGTACCCCAGTGTATGAGAACAGGCTCCAAGGCTCCTGAGCCCCATGCCTACAGAACCACAGGCACTCCTGCAGCTTCTTCCCCAAGTTCCCTGCGCTAAGGTGTCAGATTTATTTCTGTCTCCCTCCTCCTGCAGAGGTAATCCCTGGGAATAGAAGTGGGTTAGAAACAGATTACTCTGATCCAGGGGCTTTGCTCTCTCCTCCCTAAATGTGGCACGGGGGGGAGAGAGGGGAAGTTACAGATAGCCTGATATTCCCTTTTAGGATTATTGCTTGATTTAGCCAGCTGTGGTGAAAGTGGAGCAAGAAGAAGGGAGGATTAACTCTAGACCTAGCTTGACAGCAGGATGCATGGGCTTCTTGTCTAGCTGAGCCAGGATGAGCAATATCTCTTCCTAAATATACCTTTAGAAATAAGGAGTCTTGGCCGGCCCTGTGGCTTGGTGGTTAAGTGCGTGCGCTGTGATGCTGGTGGCCCGGGTTCGGATCCCGGGTGCGCATCGAGGCACCACTTCTCCGTCCATCCTGAGGCCGAGTCCCACATACAGCAACTAGAAGGATGTG